TTCTACTGTTGAGCTACAACCTTAGCCCACATGATACATTTTGAAGGAATAATGGATCATAGAAAGAAATCAGGAGAAATAAAAAAATTCTTAGAAACAAATTGTTTTGGGGCTGGCGTCTTCCGAGAAACTGAGGCAATTCAAAGACCCTCTTTCAAGCCCAGATTTCTTGCAGCCAAGTCAGATTTCAGACATGTCACTCAGAGTAACAGGAATGAATTTATTGAAGGGATAGGAAAAGGGAAAGGGTATACTCTCAAGGGAGAGTGTGGGTCCTCTCAGAAAGGAGAGGGACAATGTATCTTTCCTGCACTCTGGTTTTATTGGAGATCCCAAAGATTCCTGCCCAGGTCCACATCTTGACTTTTTACTGACAACAGGGTGACATCAGACTTCAAAGTCCCCACTGCCATGGCAACTCTGTCACCTTGGCCCATGCTGACTGATTCTAATTGGAATCTTAATCATTTTTACAGGTTTTATGGTTAGGAAGAATTATCCTTATCTTTTGGGATCTGGTCTGTGAAAAGGATTACAAATATCTTTCCCTTCAAAGTAACTTGGGTTTCTCTTATCAGCGTTATTTCCTGCCTGCATGTCCTTGCAGATTACAGGTGGTTTGCTGAGGAACCTGACCTGTCCTGTCTGCTTAGGCCAGGCAGGCTGAGATACATTGCTTTTAAGCAAAGAAAGTTTGTGGGGGTCCGCATAGTGGGTCCATTTTATAGAATTATTCTCTTAACCTTGTGTTCCCAACAGCCTCATCTGTCTATCCTCTAACAAAATGAGAATAGAGATGCAATGTATCAAAATCTCTGGGACAGTAGGTAAGAAGTTTTAAGTGGAAAGTTTATAGTCTTTAGTTTCTACATTTAAAAAATAGATTTTATTCTCTATTTATTGATGAGTAATATTCCATTGTATATGTATACCACATTTTCTTTATCCATTCATCTACTGAAGGGCATCTAGGTTGGTTCCACAGTTTAGCTATTGTGAATTGTGCTGCTATAAACATTGATGTGTCTGTGTCCCTGTATTACGCTGTTTTTAAGTCATTTGGGTATAGACTGGGGAGAGGGATAGCTGGGTCAAATGGGGGTTCCATTCCCAGCTTTCCAAGGAACTCCCATACTGCTTACCATACTGGCTGCAACAATTTGCAGTCCTACCAGCAAGGTATGAGTATGTCTCTTCCCTCACATCCTCACCAACATTTATTATTGCTTTTGTTCTTAATAGCTGCTATTCTGGCTGGAGTGAGATGAAATCTTAAGAGTAGTTTTGATTTGCATTTCTCTAATTGCTAGAGATGTTGAACATTTTTTCATATATTTGTTGATTGATTGTATATCATTTTCTGAGAGGTGTCTGTTAAGTGGATGGAGTTGGAGAATATAATGCTTAGTGAAGTTAGCCAATCTCCAAAAACCAAATGCCAAATGTTTTCTCTGATGTAAGGAGGCTGATTCATAATGGAATTGGGAGGGGGAGTATTGGAGGATTATACGAACTCTAGATAGGGAAAAGGGTTGAAAGGGGAAGGGGACATGGGGGTAAAAAAGATGGTTGAATGAGATGGATATCATTACATGTATGAAGACACGAATGATGTGAATACTTTGTATACAACAGAGATATGAAAAATTGTGCTCAGTATGTGTAATAGGAATGTGTAATGCATTCTGCTGTCATATATAACAAAGTAGAAAAAAAATAGAACCAGAAAAAAAAAAAAGAACCATTTAATAATCTGATGTTATACCCAAGGCCCTAGAACAATAAACTATTTCCAAAGAACAATAAACTATTTCCAAAATCAATAGAAGAGAAGAAATAAGATCAAAGTTGAAATTGATGTAACCAAGAGTTGGTTCTTCAAAAAGATAAACAAAATTGATAGATAAACCCTTAGCCAAACTAACCAAAAGAGAGAAGACCCAAATCAGAAAAATTACAGTTGAAATAGGAGATATTACCACATTTCTGAAAGAAATCCAGAGGGTCATTAGTTTATTTTGAAAATGTATACTCCAGTAAGCTGAAAAATCAAGAAGATATTGAAAAATTATCAGACACATATGATCTACCCAAAATGAATCATGATGATAATAGAAAATTTTGCAACTACTATAAAATGTCGGCTCAACACTCTCACATATTGGTGCAGGCACTGACTTCCTTAACAAGACCGACCCCTACAGTACGAGAAGTAAAACTGAGAATCAAAAGTGGGCCAGTATCAAATTAAAAAGCTTCTGTACCACAGAGGAAATGAGCCCACAGAATGGGAGATCTTTGCCAGCTGCTCCTCCATCAAGGGATTAATGTCCAGAATATATAAAGAATTTTAAAAACTTAATACCACAAAACCAAATAATCCAGTTAATAATGGACAAAATAAACAGATACTTCTCAAAGAAATAAAATGGCCAACAAATACATGAAAAATATTCAACATCACTAGTAATCAGAGAAATGCAAATCAAACCTACACCAAGATTTTATCTCCAGTCAAAATTGCAATCATCAAGAATACAAATTATAATAAATACTGGTGAAGATGTGGGGAGAATAGGTACATTCATGAACATTGTTGTATAAATTCATACAACCACTCCAGAAAGCAGTGTGGAGATGCCTCAAAAAATAGGAATAGAACCCCTATATGACCCATCTATCCCATTCATCAGTATATATCCAAAGAACTAAAATCAGCATGCTATAGAGATATAGGTACATCATTTGTTTATAGCAGTGTATCTCAGAATAGTCAAGTTAAGGAACCAACCCAGGTGCCCATCAACACATGCTGGTAAATGAATGGAAATGGAGAATATGCTAAATAAAATGAGTGAGATTCAGAAATTTCATCATCAAATGTTTTCTCTCATATGCAGAAGCTAGACCAAAATAAGGTGGGGAGGTGGGTGGAAGTGAGGAATCTTATGAAAATAGGAGAGAGTTCACTGGAGCAGAGGAAGGGGATTGAAGGGAAGTGGGGAGGGATAGACGATGAAAGGAATTGTAGAATGAAATTGGCCAAATTATGCTATGCATATGTATGAATATACCATAGTTTTATGTGTGTCTATAAAACACTAATTTAAAAAAACTGAATTAATGGAAGGAATGCCAGTAGAGAAAGGGAACAGGGGGATGGATGGAGGAGGGGAGAAAAATGGGAAGTACTGGAAACCTAAGTGAAGCAAAGTATATTCCACATTTGTATTATGTATAGCTATAATGCACTAATAAAAAATGCATACAAGATAATTTGAAAGGCTCTATTATTGTGATTAGTGGTATGAAGGCAGTATGATACTTGGTTTTTATTTATTCAGGTATGGATTTTGCGTGAAACCTATCCCTTTTAGTATTTTCAGGACCTTTCATAGATGGAATTCCTTCCAATAAAGACACTTCTGTTTCTTATCCTTTTCTTTTTGGCTCTAGAGCCTCTTCCATATTTGTATCTAATTCCCAACTTTTTATTGTAGGGTTTTATTGCATTCATAAGTAAATTGTCCTTGACCTTCCTTTTCTTACCATCTCACATTTTATATATTTGACTTTTATGTATTTGTAGTTTTCTACTTTGATCTCACAGTTTACTTATTTGTATAATAATATTGATTTATCTAAATTTTATATCTGTGTTAAATTCTAACACCACTATTCCTAATTTTAGAAATGCCTTAAAAGGTAGAGGCTACAGAAACTGTTAATAGTGCAGATGATTGGAAAGAGAAAGATTATTGTTGTACTCCAGCTTCTAAAATAGTGCCTGACACATAAACAGTTGTTCAGTAAAAATTTGTTGAATGAATGAATGAATGAATGTTTGTGAAGATTAATTATTTAGAAAGTGTCAACAATTATTCATATTGAGCTGAGGCTTTAAAATATTTAGATTTTGGGAGTCTGGAGCTCTAGTCCCTGGGGATAAAATAAAGATAGAACACTTGCCTAGCACACATGAGGCCCTGGGTTTTATACGCAGTACCACAAATAAGAAATAACTAAAAAGAAAGAAAATTTTGATAATATAGGATTATAGTAGATTTGTATGATTTATACTGGTTTCTGCCCACTATTTAGTCACCGAATTCAGATGTTTTTTTGCCCCTTTTATCAGTTTCTTGCCTCTTGTTTACGTTCAGTTTTTTAATCTAAGACATTTGCAATTAGAGTTTACCATTCTAAAACAAAGTTACTTATGCTGCTTTCAGTAGCCAACAGAATAAACAGCCCTTTTGTATGACATATGAAGTTTATTCGCTGTCACTCACAAAAAACCTGCCTCCCTCTGCTCTATATGTCACATCTTGTTTTTAGAGTAGATTACTTGGTGTCATACCTATTTCACAGTTTATATTTTATTCCTTCCACCTGGAAGGCCTTATTTCTCCTTAATGTTTTTTTTTTTTTTTTTAAATATTCAGTTTTTAGTTGTAGTTGGACACAATACCTTTATTTTATTTATTTATATGTGGTGCTGTGGATCGAACCCAGGGCCTTGCATGTGCTAGGCGAATGCTCCACCACTGAGCCACAACCCCAGCCCCTCCTTAATGCTTTTTTAAAAAAACATTTTTTTAGTAGTAGTTTTATTTACATGCAGTGCTGAGAATGGAACCCAGTGCCTCACATGCTTAAGCAAGCGCTCTACCATTGAGCCACAACCCCAGTCCTCCAATACTTTTTAAAAGGAAGTTTGATGTATGTGGTTAAACTTTTTAAGGCACATGTCCTGATTTATGTCCAGGTGACCCCACCCAGATACGTTTAAAGAAATGCTCACTTTCAGTAGGAAAAACAGTGTTCTTGTCTCTTCATTACAAATAGTATTCAGGTATGGAATACCTTTCTTCCTGGATGGTACTTGCACTCTATATTAATCTGCTGCCAATTTTTTTTTTCATTTACACTTGCTTTTTGGTGAGTACTAAATGGGAATAAAATGACCAATAATAACTTCAATTTCTAATTATCAACAGGTAAAAGAACTTAAACATTCAAACAAACTAGAAATAACAGACATCAAACTGGAGGCAGCAAGAGCTAAAAGTGAGCTAGAAAGAGAAAAGAATAAGATTCAAAGTGAATTGGATGGTAATATATGATTCCCCATGCTTTTTACTAGTTTTTCAGACATGAACTCAAATTGTTAATATAGATAAACCTTAATGATTATTTCTAGATTCTCAGATTAATTGGATTTCAACCTTTAAAAGATATGGAATGTTATTGCATGTATGTTGACTGTTCATTCTTTGACCTGACTTTAAAAAAAAAAATCGATCATGTGTTGGTATAAGTTATTTGATTAATGTATAAACTAAATAAAACTTTGAAAATGGGATTCTATCTTTCCTGGGTTTATAATTTTAAATCTATTTTGTCATATTATTTTCCGAGGGCATTATAAGTCTAAGACCATAAGGAAGAAAGTTCTAATCCTGGATTTTTAATTTTTTATTTTTTCTAAACACTAGGTCAGTTATTGAAGCCTAGTTCAATGTAGTCTTGTTCTTATGGTCCATTCTAATATTCACATGACTCATCAGGATTTCTCAGAATTTGTATGGCTTCTAATTTTTTTTTCTTTTTCTTTTTTAGTTGTAAATGGACACAATACCTTTATTTATTTATTTTTATGTGGTGCTGAGAATTGAACCCAGTGCCTCACACGTGCTAGGCAAGCACTCTACCACTGAGTTACAACCCCAGCCGTGGCTTCTAATCTTAGATTTTTCAAATAAGCTGCCCTTGGGGTGTAACTGTGCTTGAGTTGGTCTGTAATTTCAGATGGAGGTTAGATTGAATGCCTATTCTCATTATTAGATTCTATGTAATTTTGACTTGTGATTTTCCTCATTTAAACTAAATTTTCTTAAAAATTTAGATTTGGGGATTCTGGTTTTACTTTGAATTAGATATGAATTTGCTTCAGTTATTCCATGTATAAATATTGTCTGTTCATCAAGAGGAAGATTTGAAATTCATTGGACAAACTTGAAACTTTCCTTGTTTTTTATATTTCTGCTAGACTCTAGCAATTTTGCTGTAATCTTAGGTTTGAAGGACTTTGTGACTTTTATTTGCTCTGTTTTCAGCCATTTTGTTATGATGCTGTCTTAGGGTTAGTTTACAGAAGTCCTTCAGAGGTGAAGTAACCAAGTGTCTCTGTATATCACACAGGTTGATGATATTTCTAGGTTTAAAAATTCAAGTGAATAAATGTTTATTTACCCTTTTGAAAGTTTTTTTTTGTATGTATGCATGTGTTAAATGAAGTAATGGCAGAGAATTAACTCTGAGTTTTAGTCTGTTTCATTCTTATTTTTAGAAAGTGTATCAGTGGCTTAAGGATCTTTGAGAATGTATATCCAGAGAGACTTTCTAATTCTTTTACTCACTTATGAAGGCTGTTAATTGTGATTTTTCATCATCGCAATATTAACTATAGTATATTTTTCTCTTTGAAAAATAATAGGATTACAGTCAGACAATGAAATCCTCAAATCAGCTGTTGAATATCACAAAGTGCTATTAGTAGAAAAGGATCGTGAATTAATACGTAAAGTACAAGCTGCCAAGGAAGAAGGTTATCAAAAACTCGTAGTATTACAAGGTGAAAAGTAAGTGCTTAATTACCTTAGTTTGTATTAAATCTTCTTGCACATGGAAACATTTTACTGTAGCATCATCTTTATTGTAGTTCTTGTAACATAATTATCATCTGTTGTTTTAGGCTAGAACTTGAGAACAGATTAGCAGATTTGGAGAAAATGAAATTGGAACATGACGTCTGGAGGCAATCTGAAAAGGATCAGTGTGAAGAGAAATTGCGGGCATCACAGATGGCAGAAGAATCGGCCAGAAGGGAACTTCAGAGTATCAGGTTATGTATACATGTATATTTTTAATTTTGAAATAGTTTCAGAGATAACAAAATGAGGTAAAAATGGCCCAGAGATTTCCCATGCACACTTCACCTTGATTCCCCAAGTATTAACATCTTATATAACCATGATACAGGGGTCAAAACAAATTAACAATATAATCCAGAAATCAAATGTTAGTATTATCAAAAATGTTGGCTTTATTTAAATTTTACCAGTTGTTTCTTTGTGTCTTTTATCTGGTTCAGAATCAATTCCACACATTGCCTTTATATAATTTCCTTTAATCTGGAACACATTAACACTTTAGTAGAGTGCTTGTTAGTATTTTACACATTGTCTCTCAATTTGGGTTTGTAATACACTTTTAATTTTTTTTAGTTGTAGATGGACAGAATAACTTTATCTATCTGTCTATCTATCTATTTATTTTTATGTGGTGCTGAGGATTGAACTCAGTGCCTCACATGTGTGAGGCAAGCACTCTACTACTGAGCTATACCCCCAACCCCTTGTAATACATTGTTTATGAATAAATTCAGGTTATGTATTTTAAATCAAAATTGCACCAAAGTCATGTATCCTCAGTGCACGTATAAGGAAGTTTTTGATTTGTCTTCTTTACTGATTATGTTCACCTTGACCATGTAGTTATCATAGTATCTGTCAGATTTTTCTTCGATATAATTAGTGTTTTTCCCCTCTGTAATATATAATCATAAGATTTCTTATATAATTTTTTGAGACTATTTAAATTCTCATTGTACTTTCTCATCAAACATTATTTTATTAATTTTAGCATCCTAACATTACTTTAATATCTGCTAAAGAAGTTACAAATATGAAGAGAGAAAGTCTAGAATAAACTCCATGGTGTTGGGGCAGAATTGGAAATATCAATGTAAATTCATGATTATTAATATATATACATATAGAAAAATAAAGAAATGGATGTAATGTGACTTGGGCATACATATATAAATCTCATCAGTTCACTGAAAGGGCCTAGAAGCAAAGTTTCTCTAGTACCAACAAGCACTCTTATTAGATTAGCTGAGATTTCATTTTCCTATGCCAGCCTCCAATATAAAAATAGCCTTAGAGAAATGGCTAGTAATAGGGCTAGAGAAAAGAAAGTAAAAGGGAAACCTAGAATATCCTGTGATATCAGACAATAAGGAGAACCTCAAAAGATGAGATTATATCAAAAGGACATAGAATTCAACTTGAAAAAGTCTCCAGTTGCCAATTATGTAACCCATAGAAGAAAATAAGAATCTATTAGTCCATACTAGTATAGATATAATATTTAGAGGAGAAGGGAGAAGCTCTTCCTTTCAAATTCCAACTAATAAATGTAGAAAGAATGATGAAAATAGGAAAATCACAATTTAGCAGATACTAAAGTAATGTTTTCTTTATGGTATAATATATCAAGACCACAACTAGGATAAGACAAAATGAATAGCCCAGGGTGTAAAATTTAAGGAGTCATTCACTTCCGTGTTCCAGTGTTACACTTATAGGATCCAGGTAACAAGGACTTATATTTTCCACTTGGACCTTCCAGTGTCTGGTGGGTTATTAAAAGCAGGATAAAAAACTTGACACTTCTGCCTCCATTTTGCATTTATCTGTTTTGCTCTGAGTCACCTTGGATTCCAGGAACAACATGTCTAATACATAAACATCTTGTATGAGTATAAACTATCCCTTGGGGCAATAGCAGCTTTCTTATCTATTATGAGCAGGGTCCCCTTTTCTGAGTCCTGAGATAACGATTAACCACAGTTTGATGAAGATTGTTTGACTGTTCCTATATCTGGACCCCCTTGTCTGTATAATTGGAAGCTTATGTCAGTAACACCGTAGACAGAGGTAAGGAAGTAGGTCTCCTTGTCTTCCTGGTATAGCTATAATGATTAAAGCTCCTTTCTTGCACTTGCCATTGCTCTTTCAGTGTGGTTTTTGGTGCAAGTGGCTGGATCTCATTTGCTGGTATTACTAGAGTCAGGCCTCTGGTACAGGATTCTGTTAACAGTGTCAGAGTATCTCAAATTTCATACTCTGAGCATTTCACTTGCCTTGATCATATACTATAGTCTTATTGCTATAGTATATGATCAATTTTTATGAGTGTTACATAGCATATGGAAAGAAAGAGTATAGTAGGTTATGTTACATCCTGACAGATAAGTTGAAAATGTCTTTAATATACCTAATAACAGGGCTGGGGTTGTGGCTTAATAGTAGAGTGCTCACCTAGCACACGTGAGGCACTGGGTTTGATCTTCAGCACCACATCAAAATTAAAGGAAGATATTATGTCCACCTACAACTAAAAAATAAATATCTAAAAATATATATACCTAATAACCATACACTGCAAAGTATTAGTTTGTTTACCCTTGTGATCCCATGGCAAACTAGGACCTATAGCTTGCTGCCCCTGAGCAAACATTGTGAGAAAGTATCTTTCATTATATATTGCTAGGCTGGGAAAAGATCAAAATTCAAAATTTAAAGTACAGGTTCTACAGATTGCATATAGCTTTCACACCATTGTGAAATTGAAAAATTCTAAGTTCAAATCATTGTAATAACAGGAACCAACTGTTATTATTTCCATTTGCTTGGTATAACTTTGTCCTCTGTTTCTAAATTTTCTGAATCATTTTGTTTTTTAAATATGTATTTTCTATATAGCATATAGTCTGGTCTTGCTTTGTGAGCCAAATGGGAGATTTTTTATTTTATTTTAATGGGTGAGTTAAGACCATTTATCTGCAGTGAACACTTGCTGGGATTTGATATCCCTTACAACCCCCTGCATTTTTACTTATATAGTTGTTTTGAAATTTGGGCATTTTCTGTCTTCCATTTATGCTAAGGGGTGGTTCTGTATGACTTTATTTGTTTTCCTATCTTTTCTGAATTATTTTTGTAAAATAAATGGATAATAGAGCTAGAGCATCTGTCCTTATTTTTAGTACCTTCTCTTTATCTTTTAATTCTAAAATCTTAATGACTTTGCTAATTATATAAATTAGAGTAACTGTCATGAGCCATCCATGGGCTGTATATGGACTGTGTTGTGCATAGTAGCCTCAAAAGGGGATAAGTCTGGAATTGGGAACTTCCCGTGACACCCGCCACAGGGATTGACCACCTGATGCAAGTGAACTTCCCTCTCAAGCTCGGCCAAAGATCCCATCCAGTACTTGAGTGTGACCTGAGAAGATGACAATCAACCTGCTGACTAGTAGACATCAAGCATGACTCTGCCCTTGAAACCTTATTCCTGCCTTTCCTGTACCCCCCTTAAATAAACCACCAGAGCCATATTTTCTTTGTTTAGTTACAGAGACCATATGGATTAGATCTATCAGAGGCTTCACATTTGTAAATATATTTCTGAATATTTGTGTTTTATTATTCACTAATTATTTGAGACTTAAGTTTTAAGGTGGCTTCCATTCTCCCTGGCAGGAAGAACTCCCCAATGAGACGCTGGCCATTGTCCCTATTAAGTGATTTTTAAAAATCATACTTATTAAGTTGTTGGTTATATTTTGAGGCAAATTTCTTGATCCACATTACTTAAGAAAGAACCGCTTCAGGCAGTGGTGTATCTATTACTTATGTTGGGTTTAATGCGAATCGTTGTTGGCTTCCATTCTAGAATCATAAATCTGTAATGGATTTGAGAGTTAATCTTGCCTACCCCTTCACTTTTAGGTAGGTATATTATTTAACTATTCAGGACAGATCGTTTTTAAATTTCCACCCTCCCCAAGAACCCCACTCTAATATTTTACCTCATCATGGTTGCACAATTTGGCCATTTAGAATCATTTCTGTTTCTTCTGCTTTGCATTTCTGTTGCTATAGTGATATAATGTTCAGCATTTTGTCATTGCTTGAAAACAATAGTGGACTTTATTCTTTTGTTTTTTTGGCTTTTAAAAATGTAGCTGGGTGTGGTAGTGAACAAGTATAATCCTAACCTCTTGAGAAACTGACATAGGAGAATTGCAAGTTTGATGCCAACTGGAAAATTTAGGGAGACAGTTTAAAATAAACAAAGGCCTGGAGATATATAGCTAAGTGACAAGGTGCTTGCCTAACGTGCGAGACCTTGGGTTCGATCCCCAGTATTGCCCCTTGGCCAAAATATATGTATATGTAAAACAGCTTTCATTCCTTAACTTTTCTTTAATATGGTATTTTCTGTTAGTCACTTTGATAATTTATCTTTGATTCCTTTTCATTTTCTACAGATCATTTATACATATAATATGTAAATGATCCCCAACATAAGGACATAGTAACCAATATAAAATCTAGCAGTAGTAATTTACAAGATTTGCCTGAGTTTAAAAATTAAAAAATTCTACAATCATGGTGTTTCTTCCATAGTAGTTCTGATTTGATTATTTATAAATCATTCATTAAAATAATCATAATAGCTGGGCATGGTGGTGCACACCTGTAATCCCAGCAATTTGGAGGGGGAGGCAGGAGGATTGCAGGTTTAAGGCTAGCCTCAGAAATTTAGCAAGACCTCATCTACTTAGCAAGACCCTGTCTAAAAATAAAAAGGACTGGGGGTGTGGCTCAGTGGAAAAGCACACCTGGGTTCAATTTCTAGTGCCAAAGTATTAATCATAATTGTATCACTTGGAGTCTGATTGGTCAGAGACTGTGAACCAAAGATCTTGCTAAGGAAATGAAAAGTATAAATAATATGAAGCAGGAGTATCCTTTTACTCATAATTAACGATATCTATGATAAGTAGATATTCTAAAGCAATGATTAACATATTAGTTATATACTAGTCTTTTGTTTACCTAAGTGGTTTCTTCACCATTAGCCTATTATAATAATTTATTATAAAAATAATAAATTTATTTTTACAAAAATATTTTGTATTTCATAAGGATGCTTCACTGTACTTTTTTTTCATTTTGTGAAGTTTGTAAATTTACCTATAAAATA